TCCCATGGCGCATCTCTCACAACATAAGAAATTACCCGCGGGACTAACTATACACTTACACAACTAAATCACTATGGGGTGGTGCAATGCATAGTGCAAGGGCTGACATCATATAAACACATTGACTTAGATGTGTTAATAAAGATCTAGATGAACAAAGCATGTATCATTACATTTGACTTGTGTTCCAGTAAACACCCCTCCTCTAGCATTCATCACTGGAAGTGAATGTAAGCAAATTCTGTTCTTTTTAGAGGCCAGACGTCCAAATGCAAGTCAAACACAGACATCAAACACTTCCACGCCTGTCTAACACGTGCACTAATAGACTGCCCACATCTGCTCTATAAAAAAACGCTGACCATGACGCCATGACTATAAAGATCACAAAAAAGCCAGAGTGCTGGACTCCTTTGCTATAAAAGGCAGGGAGTCGTAATAGAAGGGAAAGGTATAAGAAGAGCGAGAGAGAGAGAGAGAGAGAGAGAGAGAGAGACACTATGTAATTTTCTTTCATACTGACATTCCCTGTATTGATATTCTCAAGCCTACTAACACTTAACTTACTAACTGACACTAAAAAAAAAGTTTTTTTCTCCACTGTCTGAGATGAAACTTGATGAAACCTTAATAGTGATCAAAACGGTGACATCCAGGCAATCATCAAGATGAATCATGAACTGGTTAATGTTCATAATGTTCAATCAAAGCATTGATTAATCTTAATTAATGGTCATTTCTACATATAGTGATACATATACTGTCATTTAAAGGTGTATAAATTAACATATATTATGAATAAATGTGAAATAATAATGAACAATAGTATGTTTATTTATAATTATATATTCTAATGTAATATATTATTATTATTATATTATAACATTAATATAATATAATATAATAAATTAGCATTAATCTAGATAATAAAATGCTGTAATTATTATATTATATTATATTACAATATTCTATTCTATTCTATTCTTTTCTATTATATTATAGAAATGTATATTTTTTATTAACATAAACCAATTGTTGTTGATTGTTTGTTCAGGACACCTGCATAAATAAAGTAAATCTTATTGTAAAGTGATAGCGATTCACTTATATTCAAATACTTTAAACGTTCAGGCCACTGAAAGGCTGTGTGACTGTCCGGACTGTGTGCGATTACGGGCCTGCTGACTGTGGTGATGGGGGGAAGAAAGTGTGTCACTGGAAGCCGGTGAGACGAGAATCCGTCTGATGTAAGTGTTTTAGTGAGATCTCCAGCTGTGCCAGTGCCCCCAGTCTGTCCCTAATTCAAAGAGAACGCATGCCTACTGTTGCTGACACTTAATACCAGGGATTATATGCTGCCCTCTCATTGGTGTAGAGTAGATATAATTTCAGTGTGGCGCTACTGGAAACCAAAAAACAAGGGCATCACAAAAAATAAATATAAAAGCAAGAATCTGGTAATGAATTCTGTTCTTAAAATTAGGACATTACCCAAATTTCGGTGTATATTGTAACTACTTGTAATTTTTATATCGACGCAAAGTCATAAACAACAGCCAGACAGGGTCAGAGGTGAAAATGCTCCAGTGACAGCCATCCACTAAAAGTATTGTCAGTTCACTGAACTAATTTATGGCAGTGCTGTATGTTTGGAGTCCGAGCAGAACAAAGCGCTCCCGCAGGACAAATGGAATCGATCTGGTTCACTGGCATCTGGTAATAATTCTGAACCGGGCAGAAGGGTGAAGGTGGATAGGTAGCTGTGTTTCGGGTAAAGACTTTGCATTAGCCTTTACTAGACTGATACAAAACGAAATGTGATATAGTCTGTTTCTATAGAAACTACTCCATATTGTGTCTGTCTCTACATTTCTTATCACTACAAGTGTGCTGATATTAGTGTTGGGGGTAATGCATTACAAGTAACATGAGGTACGTAATCAGATTACTTTCCCCAAGTAACTAGTAAAGTAATGCATTACTTTTACAATTACAATTAAATATCTGAGATACTTTTTCATATACCGTATTGGCCCGAATATAAAACGACCCTGATTATAAGACGACCCCCCTTTTTCCAGATGTACCTTTTGGAAAAAGGCTTTTTAAAAACCAAATCTTGTTTTTTCTCAGTAAAACACATTTTGTCTTCAATTATTTTCATATTGCATATTTTTCCTATTTTAATTTTTGTTTTGAAAGTATGGTAAAAACTGGTAAAATGTACCAACAATCACATTTAAAAAATAAACACTTTTTGATATACCATAAAAATAAAAATAAAAAACAGGTAGCCCATCTGAATTAGGACATTTAGGCTATCCATCTAATAGTAGCCTACCAAAATCTTATTAACAGTAGAAGTTAAATCTTACTGTAGTCTTCAAATCTGGGTACTGTCTTACGTTTTAAAATCACAAAGAGAGTTTGGT